GGAGCTGAGACAAACACTGATCTGTGCACGGTATCTTGAACCAGCAATAGTCGGCCCCAGACACCCGAAGGACAGGGTCCAAGTTGTCAGTTTTGCGATCGGGTACATCCAAGAAGAAAGGAGAGCTGCCCAGCTTGGGGTCGAACGCGCAATAACTGTTCCAAAACGGACCATTTTGCTAGCTGTTGCGGATCCGCTAAGGCCAGCCCAGTAGTCGAGAGTATCATCGAACATTTACAAGACTTTTCGATAAGCGACTAGGAAAATCGTGGAGAACACAAGTGCGTTGTCGCTACGCTTTTGATTCGAGGGCGACCGGGGCGCTTCCAACTGGACTCAGGGGCTACTGTCAACATCCTACCTGAGAAGCACTGTGTGGGAACGACATTTGACAGGACGCAAAATTGCCTCAGAATGTGGAATGGTTCAAAGCTGCTGTCATAAGATACCGCCACGTTGAAGGCTATCAATCCGAAAAAAGGCACAGAACAACAACTCGATTTCCTGACAGTCTCAGGAGACCTTATGCCCATTTTGGTTATTGATACTATTCAGAATCACGGTTTTGTCTCTTTTAACCATGAAAAATTTGTCCATTCGTGTGAAAATAACATAGATATTGTTGATAGCTTCCCAAGCGTATTTGACGGGGTCGTAGGGAGATTCGAAGGGTCTGCTCATTTATGTTTAATCGAATCGGCTAAGCCGCTAGTGTTGCAGACCAGAAAGGTACCTATTACCTTACGTGAGAAATTTTTAGAGGAGCTGCAGCATTTTGCTAGCTTTGGTGTAATAGCCAAAGTTGAGGAGCCGACAGATTGGGTTAGCCAGATGGCGATCGTTACTAAGAAATCTGGAGAACTATGCGTGTGCATTCATCATCATCATCATTATACATGTCAGCTAGAGATGGTAAAACACCTCCGCTATTGTACCGCAATACATATAGGAAATACATACATACATACAATACATAAAGGAAAAATAAATACGACAGTTGAATGCCAGCTGAGCTACCAGCAACGGATACGCATCGTTCCGGTAAGCTACTAGCCGGCTACTAGGCAAAACCAAAAATTTAATTACGTTTTACCCTACGAAATAAGATCGTAGATGGAGGGGGAGGCTAAAGGGATGGGGAGGGACAAAGAAACTCACAGCATGAACGCCACTGAGGTCGGCTCCTTGCCATATCAGCAAGTGTTTTCAGCCAAACGAGTTCACCGTCTTTTGGACCCCAACCAGGGAGCCGTGAAGCTCCAACCGAGGCCAGCTCCGAAGTGAGGACATTCATTCCTCTGGACCAAGTCATCGCTTGGCCACCTCTCCTCTTCTTCCACCCACATCCCCGGTGAGCAAACAACGCACATCGAGGGAGTCGGTGGGCTGGCATGCGTAACACGTGGCCCAGCCATCGGAGCCTGGTGAGTGAAATGACGGCGCTGAGCGGTTCATTCCCTTTCCCTAGGCCGTAAACAAGGCGTCGAACACGCTCGTTACTCACGCGGTGTTCCCACCAGATGTGAGTCAAACTGCGAAGGCACGGATGGTCGAACGTAAGTAGCCCCTTCATGTCCGCCGATCTTAGGGGCCAGGTTTCGCAACCGTATATTGATCCAAAACCACTTAACGCCGCACTCAGGAGGGAGCATTATACGTTACCGACCCTAGATGACGTAGTTCCGGTGCTATCCATAGCTAGAACATTCACTAAAGTCGACCTTGCTTCTGCGTTTTGGCATGTATTACTTGATGAAGAGTCAAGGTACCTGACCACGTTTGGGACAACTTTCGGGCGTTTCTGCTGGCTTCGTTTACCGTTTGGAGTGAAGGTATCTAGCGAGATATTCCAGAAACGACTGGTGCATGCTTTAGACAATTTACCAGTAACGTTCTACGTAGTAGACGACGTTATGATTTTTAGCGCAATGCGAGAGGAGCACGACCAGAACCTTCACCGGTTTTTGCAGCGCTGTTTTGAAAGGAACATCAAGCTAAAACGAGAGAAGATCAAGTTGCGTAGGACAAAAGTGATGTTTCAGGGACACATGCTAAGCCCCGAAGGATTGAAATCAGACCCAGAGAATGTCAGGGCTATCAAACAGATGCCTCCTCCTACTGACGTGAAAGCCGTTAGCAAGCTGAATGTGGTGGTGAATTACCAAAGTCCTTTCTTGCCCAGATTAGCTGATGTAACTGTACCGACTCGCAAACTGACGCAGAGGACTGAGAAGTGGCATTGGGACGCGGAGCAGGAGAGAGCATTTTAGAAAATAAAGGAATTGATCACGAGCGCCACCGTTCTCGCTTACTATAACCCAGAACTCCCGCTCGAGATCAAGTGTGACAGCAATCAGTATGGCATCGGAGCCATATTCATGCAGAACGGTAAGCCTATAGACTTTCGCACACGGACACTGACAGAGCCCGAGCGTCATTAAGCGCAAATAGAGAAGGAAATGCTTGCATTGGTTTACGTCCTGGAGAGTTTCAATGACTATACATTTGGCCGCAAATCTACCGCCTTTACCGACCACAATCCCCTAGTGTCGATCGCCAGCAAGCCGCTCCATGTTGTTCCACGCCGTCTACAAAGGATGCTTATTCGTCTTCAGAAGTATGATCTAGAGATTGTCTACCGGCCAGGATCCCAAATGCACATTGCGGACACGCTGTCAAGAGCGCACCTGTCAGACATGCCAGGAAAGGAAGAAGACCCAGATTTTGTCCATGCAACACAGCTGATCTCCGTCACCGAGGAACGCATGCACCATCTCCAACGATACACTGAGGAGGACGAATTGTGTAGACTACTGAAGCACACGATCATGAACGGATGGCCCGAAGAAAAGAAAAAGTTACAAAAGAAGCTGACTCCATTCTTCCATTTTCGTGAGGAACTCATTACTCAGGATGGATTAATATTCAAAGGCAACAGGATAGTGGTTCCAAAGGCTCTGCAGCGTTCGATGCTGGAGCTGATACATTGTGCACATTGAGGAACCAACAACTGCGTGTCAAGAGCTAGAGAGCTGCTGTTCTGGCCCGGAATGACCAGCCAAATACGTGACTACGTCTCTAATGGTGTAATATGCTCAGCACACGAGGTACACCAGCCAAAAGAAAAGAATATGCTACCTGACGTTTCTGGCAGACCCTGGCAGATGGTTGCACTAGGTATTTTTTTATCACGATGAAAGGAACTATTTGGTTGTGGTAGATGATTTTAGTGACTACTTCGAGATCGATGCGCTTACGACGATTGATACTCAATCCGTGGTGAACAAGTTGGGGTGCCAGTTCGCTAGGCATGGAATACCCGTGGTTATGATTTCAGACAACGGGCCACTTTTTAGTAGTGCAGAGTTTTGTGCATTCAGCAAGGAGCGGGATTTTCGTCACCGGCTAACCAGCCCATATCACAGGAGATCGAACGGTAAGGCTGAGTCGCCCTGTTAACTCCTACGGACCATCAGATAAGCATTCAGTGAAACATATTCTTAGGTAACCTGCAGTTTCTTCACGGTTAACTCACACCGCCTGTGAAGTATGCATCAGTTTTGATAGGCTGCGATGTTTCATGAGAACGAGTATACACGAAACGAGCATTAGATATCCGAATAATGGTTTAAGCAACTGAGATTTGAACCCGGCGCATTAGCTTCTATTCATTTATGAATCCAATTTTCGGAGTGCCTACCTCTAAATAATAGTGGATTCGGTAACCGACTCGCAATGTGAATTAGTTATTCAAATGCAATTACCCGCAATTATCCATCATTTAAGTAGCACGTTTCACTTGCTTGTAAAATTGTAGCTGAAGCCGAACACATTTGTCAAACACATCCAGCACGGCAAGAAAGACGCTCGTCATTTTTCTAGTCATACGAAGCTCTTCATCAAAGTACTTCACTATCTCTTCTATGAAAGACTTTAGTGAACACTATTGCAGTGCAAGAGAAGTTAACCGTTCAGCAGTTAGAATTTGCTGACCTAATCTTGTACTTTCCCACTCTATGTTAGTTTGAACAAGTGGAATTTTTCACCACTTGCTTTTCTTGCTGAGTCGAGCACCACATTTCCTAGTAAATTGTACACGCGGTCTCACCTTTCTTATTCATCTATGTTACCTAGTGGCTGATACGAACCACACCCATTTTTCTAGTGACCATATTTAAGCAGACCACATCCTATAGGATCACTTATTATTTTTTACCCAGTTTTTTACTAGCCTTTCCAATGTCTAAAATGTTCTGCTCGGTTTATCCACCTTTCAACCCACACACCACCACGCTCATTATGCTTGCCGCAGTAACAGGCTGTTCAGCTTGGTCCAATGGATTTGACTGTAGCCACACCACCTTGAATTCAGATTTAGCTTCACACAAAATTCCTTTTTATTAGTTCAATCAAATCACACACTGGTTCTTGATGAGGGACGATCAGATTAAATGTCAGTCGTCGTACATACGTCTGGTATGTTGCCCCCTACCTAGTGCTATCGAGTCAACTGAGCGCAATGCTACGACTTTTTGCACTAATTTGTTCGTTTTCTACACACCAAGGACGCTTAGCAAATGCATAACGTAAAATAATGGAATCACACCGTGGAACTTTCGTTTATATTGTCTACTGAATAATTGCAAGTAGCGTGATTTAAACTGATTTATTCTCAGCTTAAAAACGTTTGGTAATGCCCAACAAAGTTGACTATTGTCCGCTCCATCTCAAACGTAATTGAGATAACTAGTATGCTCTAAACATTCGGCGTTTAATCGTAGTAGCCCTAGCCTGGGGAGAAGATTCGTTCGTCAAAGCTATTTAATCTAACAGATTTAAAATACTCGCGCTTCGCCTACCGTTTAGTTACGCTAGCAAACCTTAACGTTCTTCATTCCTAACCACTATTCTGGGTAGACTGGAGGCATGGAATTACACAGGAATTTTGCAATGACTTACCAACGTTCAATTAACTCTGCTCACATGGCAAAAAGGGATATCATTCCATAATCGTATATTTGTTCTTATTTATGTACAATTCGAGCAACAACAGTTCGTTTGCATCTATTGATGGGTAATAGTCAGATTCATACTTACTCCTGACTACACACAAACACACTTTGTGCATTGGCGCGTTTCTTCATTCCAAATTATGTTTAAATGCAATTGGAAAAAATGTCGAAAAATTGTACAAAAATATCATGTTGAAACGAAACATATGATGATTCTCCAATTAGGTGGACCTCTTTCCTCATCACCATAACTTTGTGTTGGGGCTACAATGACGGAACAGCAGATAAAGTCGGTTTCGGGGGACATCTCCGGTGGTACAAACTCGTTTCGTCCATTGCACCGTATAGACATGGCGGAAGTATGAAAGATCCGTTTAGGGGCATTGGGATCCTGCAAAGATATTACGTGCAAATAAGTAGCAGGCTTCAACAAAGTAGAATAAACGACCAATTAGTCTTGTCCTATGTTACGTAGTGAAGAACCTTAGTTGGGCTCATTACGACTACGGTTAAGCATCCACCGAGCGATATTAGGCAACTCAAGCCAAAACGAATGGTACATTTAGGTGAATATTTTAAAGCACCTAAATTATTTATGCAACTTGCCTTACCAATACGGCTCTCATTCACTTACGAGCCCAACGATGAAAGGCTACTTAACCAGGAACTAATCTACAGTCGCCAACGGGTGTAAAGTTAGACTTGTACTGCTAAAACTATTTCATTCGTTATAATAAATTCACTACATATAGGGCGCTAAGTCAAATTAGACCGTTCGGTAAAAGTTGCTAAAGCAGAGTGAAAATGACGGTGACAGAGTGCTCCATTCGCAAAAGAATGAACATGTAGACCAAGTTTTGAGACAAAATGGCTGAGTTCTCCAAACTCATTGAACCCATCCCGCGCGACACACCGTGCTCGTAACAGAGGTTGTCCTGAGTGGACTCAGTTGCTGGTTGGACATTTTAGAGGAATGAACCTAAAATTGATTGATAAACGTGAATCAGTTTGGCTAGATTTAAAGATCTAAAAGAGATTTCTGCAGTGACGAAACATAAAGACAGACCTGTGTGAACAGGGTGGTTATCAGTGGTCAGCATAGGCTACAAAGTACATTTTCATAGCCGTTAAGCCCTTATGATCAAAGAGCATGTGTAACGAAAGCGATCCGTTCCATCGGAACAAACAGAGAAGTCTGTGCTGTGTATAAATAGCTAATTCGTAGAGCGGAGAAGAATAGACTATGGTTTAACGTGCTACAGAGTCAGGTGCAGCAAGATTATTGAGCTTTTTGAATATACAACATGAACAAAGGATTAGTTTAATAATTTAGGTGCTTTATAGTAAAAGAGAAATGGCTCAGTTCCGTCAAGAATTGACTGAGCTGCTAAGCGAAATCTCGGCTTCAGTTTGAGAAATATTTGACTTACATAGGTTAGTGGTTTGTGTGTACTATCTATCCGTTATGTTCCGTAGCCGTGTGAGCTGCTTGTGGACGACCTGAAGGTTTAGAGAATGACTAGCACCCCAGACGACTGCAGCCTTCTTCAGCTAGGTCTTAACCGCCTATGCATGTGGTCTGCAGAAGTCCGCCTCCCGACCAGCCTAGGTAACTCGGTATTCATCGGCTTGAAAAAGCGCGGCAGCAGCCGAACAGACTACCTCAATGGCCAACCACTAAATTCCACACCTACCATGAACGACCTAAGTGTACGCTGACGCTGCGATCTGAATTCCAAGGACAACAATAACTTGCTTATCGTTACGGACTGCGGCTGCTATGGGCGATCGAACGCAGCTTTTTTACTTGGTCTGAAGTGGTCGCTACTGGTCTCTTCTCTTCAATTACTAGTGTGTAGCAATCCAATCATCTGAGGCGAGCCAAAGAACATCGAAGGAGTCCAAAGCGTCGTTAAAACACTCATTTCGAGTTTACAATGATTACCGTACGAAGACCGGTGCTAGAAACTAGAACTCTACCCTTTATCCTATCGTCGGATTGCATTCGATATAATCGTGACCTACCGTATATTACAACTCGGTAACTTTCCCATGTTTATGCCGCTTTTTCCACTGCATGCGCCAGGCAGCACATGTGGACACTGGTACACGATTGTGGTGTCGGATATAAAGAGGGTTGCCCATTCCATTTACTTCGATCGGAGAACTGAAATAGTTTGCAACAGTCTGCCGGAACATGTGGAAGCCAAAGCTGTGCAACAGTTCAAAACCTCGTTGGAATTACACTTCAGCATTGATTCAGAGAACGATTGCACTCCGTTTATGATATTCTACATTTGTGCGATCAACGATAATGTAACGCAGAGATTTTAAAATGTTATATATGAAATCGAAGAGCGATTCATTTACCAACAGGTGGCATATATTTTTTACATTTTTGGTCATTTGTTCTATGGATTTGTGTAGATTTAAATTTCTACCTGTTCTCATAATACAATATTCCGTATTCTTATCTAGTCGCAATAATTAAGCGCCATCTGAAATCCGTCGAAAGATAAGGAGTACTGGTATCTGCTGTATAAAATCCTTAGAACTTCTGAAGTACAAAAACGAGGGAGTTGGATTTGGGAAAACAAGTGTACTGGGTGTTAGCAATGACCTAATGCACAAGTTGCATAGCAACAGTTGTGTTCTAGTATTTTGTGAAGTCATGTTTGTTGCTAAACTGATGTTTATCCACTGCTTGCTCGTGAACTACTTTGGCGACAAGGATTTTAAATCCCACATAACCAAATGCTAACGTGCGTCTCTATACGTAAGTAATAGCAGAAGCTGCAAAGATGAGCCTGGGCACGAGAAAGAGGATGGATATGCTTAAGTCAAAAAATATCCGCTAACAAACCGTTCACTTTAACGGTTACTTTTTGTGCAGAGGACAGAAGTTATAGCTCGTATATGACCATGAAATTGCCATCATAACTGAAGTTACTAACACAACTATCTATTCCAGAAACTACCGGTTCCGTAACTAGATGGGTGTCTGACACGACAAAGTAGTGTCCAAAAAATCTGCTCGATTACACTGAAACCGATGCTATTGCGGAAAGCTTGGGCCAAAGAGGATGTGGTTGAAACACTCCGCCGATTGTGAGAAATTTTCCCAAATATCTTCGTTTGGGATAGATGAGAGCGCTGACATATATAATTCGACGCGCTGTATTCAGTAAAATCCTAGACATCGATAATCGCGGCCAAAGAGAAGCTTTTAGGCGATATTGATAAGGAAAATAAACAAGTGCTATTCATACTAAGGATATGCAGCTAAATGCCGCATGTGTTAATCCATACTCGTCGATGGCCTGCAGCCACCAGTTGTAATAAAGTTGCAACATGCTTTCGAGAGCAGCTTGCATGTCAACTAAAAAATAAACCATTTATACGCACTATAATGAGGAGTATTGAAGGAAAACCAGGTCACGCTTTGATTCATCAGATGCCGATTAACTTTGCTATGAAATCTAATCTGGTTGTTTTCTGTTTAGATTGATTGAAACCATCGTACCTTCTCACACGTGATGGAATTAGACGCAGTCAATAAACACAAAGTGGGTGTTATCAGCACCTTACGCGTCAGCCGTGACCCATAGTAAAAGTCATAGTACACAGAAGATGATGGTGGCCCAAAATGGGTTCTACCATGTTGCAGAACTCAGTCCCTCAGGAACAAGCGTTTATTCGGCAAAGACAACTAAGCGAACATCACCGCATGTTTAGCAAACCAAACTCCTCAATATAAATTGTTGGTTCTAGTCCATAACTAAGGATCCTTTTGAGTCGGTGAGCTTCCTCATTTGCCTCCGTTAAACACATGGTGATTTACTCACACGGATCTCGTCCAGTCTGAGTCCAGCAATGGAATCCGTCACGTCCGCCTCCCATTGGCTGTTTGGCTCGCTCTGTTGGTCCATCTGCACAATCTGATCCGATACTACCATCACACCATCCCCTTTTTCGTGTTCTTGCGCCGCCATATTTCTATCCACTCCGTACACCTTGCCACTCCGCGTCGTCTTCGCTGTATTTGCGGCCGTGGTCACCTTCCCCCACGCCGTTTGCCACTCCACTCTCAGTCCAAATTGTTGTCTCCGGCGTCGTCTCAGATGCACTCGATTTCTTCTGAACGTTTTCCCTTCAACATTCCTTTCGTATAACCTGGCACCGACCCTCGTAGCCACAACGCGTATCTTCTACCGCTCTTGACTACCCGGTAATGGTTGACGCCACACTTCCTCTCCGACTGTTAGCTCAGGCAGTACCCGTGCACCTTGGTCATAGTACTGATTCTGAGTAGTCATTCGTCGTCCCAGATTGTTCTGCAATCCTGCATCTGCGGCAAAACTGGACGCAAAAGTGCGGTAGATGCCGGCAGCAGCATTCTACTCATTCGGCTCTATAGGCGCTGCATCGGGCTCAAACCGATATTCATTGCAGGAGCGTTGCGATTTTCCTGTAGCTTGAGGTACGGGTGCTCGCCAGTTACTCTAGCCTTTGATAACAGTCGCTTGGCCTACTTCACTATCGACTCCGTCTTTCCGTTTGATTGAATGTGCTATGGGCTGGTTTGCTGGTGCACAAATTCGCATTTGATTGAGAACGCCTGGAACACAGCTTGTAAACTAGGGCGCATTGTAGGAGACCAGCTCCTCCGGTATACCATGTCGCACGAACAGACATTTGAGCTTGTTGATTACTGCCGCTGTGGTCGTAGTGGTGAGTAGAGCGATTTCAACAGAATCACTATAGTAATCCATCATGAGTACGTAATCTTCCTCGTTATCACTGCAGAAATCCATCGCCACTTTTTGCCACGGTCGATCAGCAACATCATAAAGCATAATTGGGTCCTTTTTCCGGATTTTGTATGAACGGCAGGCCTTACAATTCGATACATGGTCTTTTATTTTATCAGTCATTCCTGGCCAGAAGATTAATTCTCTTGCTCGGTTGATGGTATAGTTGACACCCATCTGAGCGCGATGAAGGTATTTTAGCATTTCTCCTTGGATGGATGACGGAGTCAATATACTGCTTCCCTTGAACAGCAAAACAATCATAGACAGAGAGTTCATCACGTAAAGTGAAGTACGGTGTCACTTCATTCGGTAGTTGCTTATTTGTCTCTGACAACCCAATTAGAGTAACGTCACACAAAGCTGAAAGCGTTGCATCTTCCTCTGTGTGGCGCCTTATTTCTTTTAGGCGATATTCTGTCACTGCCAGGTGCTGCACTTAGTTTACTGCTTCGAACTCTTCCGGATTATGCTCGGGTACCGGTAGATGATCTCTCGACCGTGTATCCACAATGAAGGTGTGTGCACCAGGCGTATATACAATATCCACATCCTACTTTTGAAGCCGGATAAGCATACG